GTCACTAAAGAGGATATCAGAGAGTTAATTTCTAGGGAAATACTTGAGTACCATCCCCAGCTGCTTAAAGATTACATGAACGGTGCTGATAAAACCAGTTTCCTCTACCCAAGGTTGTAATATTTGTTGCTTATATTCTTAAACAAGCATGCGTCACACCCAACTGCTGACATTGATGTATACTATGCAGTGCTGTTGATCAATTTAGAAGACAATTTGCGCATCTTGAAGAAAACAGTGGTAAATCAGGCCCTGTGGCACCTCTAGAAAGGAAACATGCCTCTCTTCCACGGTAAAGCCTCGGTTTTTTCTGTAATGTCTGTTGTCACTTTATCTGATTTTAATGATTTTCTCTGTCTCTGACCTGTTATGCAATTGTTATTCTAGTTGTATATGAATATCCATTGACATGGAAAGCATAACAAATATGAAATTATGAAACCGTGACTATCTCTTTCTTGTGTTTAACACTAGTATTTATGAAGATCATGTCAACTTCGCTATATATGAAGATCATGTCCCTCTGACTCTGTGTTTCTATGTTTTCAGATCAACGGTCATACACTCAACTGCAGTAGCAAGAGGAGGACAACCTAAACTTATGAATAACACAAACACAATGAACCCTGAAACCACTCAAAACATTCCTCTTAATCATGCAACATTACAAGCACCTCAAAGAAACCTCTCAGGTACTTTTAATCACTCATCCTGAATCCAACAGAAATGTTTCCAAACCGAACTCTATAAACTGTAAAACATCTATATACGCAGCCGCCAAACCAAGCACATTCATGGGCCCTGTTGCACCTTTCGACAATGGCAGAATCAGCAGAGATGCATATGACCCAAGATCATTCATCCGGAGCACCAATCTTCCCTTTGCACAACAGTCTGCTGCAACAGTCTCAATGGGAAAGCAGCAAGAGAGAAGAACAACTATGGAGTCAGAGAAGCAGGGAAGACAAATATCTCAGTATAATAGATACGCACCAGATGTAGCCATCAACATAGATAACAACCCGTTTATCATGGCTCGGACGGGAATGAACAAAGCCGAAAACATCAGCGACCGGATTATCATCGATACAAATCTGTTACAGGCAACCGCCGGAATAGGAGTTGCAGCAGCAGCTGCAGCTGCGGCTCCTGGTGGCTCTGCTCACCGGAAAGTTGGAGCAGTTCGGTACGGTATGTCAAAGATGTACTAGTCTCCACCTAAGCGAGCGTGGGGTTTGATCACACACAACATCGTATGTTTCAACGTCTGTCATAAAAAGTAAATTGTCTTTGATACAAAAACCATATGAGAAAGAAAAAAATGTTTTTTTTTTTATAAATGTGAATCCATCATCTGTTTTTTGGTTCTTCCAATTGCGACAAAAAAATTAATGGATGTTAAATTCTGGCATATAAAATGGACAAGAGAGGTTCCGAGTTTTTCACGTTTAAAAGAACCGCTAGCTACAGAGGAAGGATCAGTCAGTACTCAGTAGTGTGGATGCGCATGATGATGATGATATCGGAAGGCATGTGGTGGTGGGAACCCATATCACAGGGCGCCACTTTGTTCTTGCAATGTCAGTAGAAGCAGAAAGCTGCATTGTCACTTGATCAAATCTTTTTAACCAAACAATTTGTGTATATATATTTCTGTGTAAACAGTTGAAGTCGCCTGTTTTCCAACTTATACTGCACTTCTTACAATCCAGAGAGGTTACAGTAACATTCTTTTTTTTGAGTCATATTGAAAACGTTCTGGATTAAGATAAAATCAAAATTTGATCCCTGAGAGATTTACACTTATTTCATCTACTCTAGTGATTAGAGCAAAAGAGAGAAGTAAAACTTACATCAACAACAAAATTTAAAATAATAAACTCCTGTGAAGTGTAACTAAAAGAGGCCAAGAGAGGAGACAAAAAAAAGGTTTGAGGTGGACCCAAAAACACAGTAAGCATTGTCCCAGAGATCACCCATCATGGGTGTGCCCACCTGTTTGGAGTTTGGACCATATCTCTCCATCCTTGGAGAGAAGAAAAAGAAGATGAGAAGAGAAGTTTTTAACTTCCCAATTGATTGTATTTATGTAGCTAAACACAAGACCATTAACCAAGTCATAATTTCTTCTTCTCCCTTTCTCTCAACTCTACAAGAAAAAACCATATCTTGTCTTGTCTTGAATCCCTTTGTAGTAGATACGAATATTTGGTTTACATGATTAAGTAAAGTTACTTTTGGGAAAGAAGAAGAAAAAAGAGTAAAACAAGATATACTACAATATAGAAGTGAAGAAAAAAAGAAAGAAAAGGACAATGGAATTGATTATTCCAAGACGAATGCGAAAGCTCTGATGCTGGGCTGGCTAAAAAAAAGGATCAGAGAGAGAGGGGAGAGTGTTATATTTGTAACATAATTAATGTAAGTTGCAAACACATAAATAAATGGGATACTAGAATTGGGGGGTGAGTGTCAGTTTGGTAGATGGTGAAATGCGAAAGGCAACCCCTCTGGCCTCCCCCCGATTCTTCTTTCTAGTGTAGGAGTAAGTAAATAATCTCAATCCCGAGAAACCAACCAAACACCTCTTCTCTTCGTCCCCTCCTTGGAAACATATATGTCTATCATCATCATCTCTACTTCTCTTTTCTTTCTTTTTTCTTTTCCTATTTTTTTTGCCTTGCATCTCCCTCTAAAACATCTCTAGATTTACAATCATCCTACTATAACCAAAGTTTTTTTACTATAGTATAAATTCTTAATCATTTTCCTCTGTTTTTGCTTAAAACAAATTTAGATGTTATTTACGATTTTACTGTTGTTTAACAGCAAAAGAAAATGTAAAGCACCATAGTGTAGTACTACAATTTACAATCCGGAATCAACATTTAGTGACATATCTTTTATTATATAACGGTTTTATTATGCATAAGATGTTGATCATATACTACAAACAATATCTATCTATCTATCTAAAAACATAGCGACGCTATATTGAAATCCAATAAAACATAAACATCCTTTGGCTTTCTTGTTGTTGTTTTTGGGCCGTTTTATCTAACAAACAATATACTGTATTATTGAGATCATTGGTTGTTGTTGTTTTCATGGTTTAGAAATATGGGACATTGGACTATTTAGCTATTTTCTTACAAAAGTTAAGAGTTGACAAAAGAGAAGAGAAAAGAAGAAAGCCGAATTAAGGACAGATTTAGTGAGAGAGGTGGGGGACCTGAAAAGAGAGCCACGTGGCCACCATGCCTTGATAGAAAATCATGTGGATCTTATTATTATTATTAGAGATACTGTAGTAGTAGTAGTAGTAGTAATTAAAGGATTATTACATATAATTAATTAGATCATCTCCTTAGCTCACAGTTTGTTGGTACGTACGATACGAACTAGTTAACTGTACTAGTAGCAGCTGCTAGTAGGATCTTGTAATCTATTTGATCTCGATCTCATCCCATTCTTCTTCTTCTTCTCTCTATACGTACATACATATATAGTTACAGTCTGTATTAGAGAGAGAGAGAGAGAGAGGAGGAGGCACATGGGAATGGG